TTTTACATGCTGTTGGTAATTAATAAATCAGCTGATTTTTCAGGTGACCGTAATGCTCTTACGAACATTCGATAACTAATAACTTCTCAAAGAGTAGATCTTGCGACATATTGCACTGCTTTCACGGCCTTGCTCCTAGTTGTCCGTGGGAGGGGGTGAGGTGTCATTTAAGCAAAGGCATTTGAGTGCCTGCAGTAGCAGATGAATCTCGCATCGTCTTGTTCACTAGAGCGATCTCCGCTCACAACGAACCATGTTTTAGGAGTCTATGCTCTTTATTTGCTATCGCATAGACATTAACGTATGTTCATGTAATGGTTTGATCAATGTAGAAAACCAGACACTGCTGCTTCTTGGAATAAAGAGCACGGAACTCGTATTTTAGCGCCGGACAGGAACCACTGAAAAGGCCTCTGAAACTATTGTTTGCACTACCCACCAAGAATAACGGACTAATAAAATGAGTGCAACACACTTATGAAAATTAACAGACATTTTTTAACGTGACCGTGAGATAATCATCAGCACGTTTAATAGTGAACCGCATAGAACTATAAAGAAATTTTAAACAATCATTTCAAGGAATCTGGGTGGACTCAGGAAGGGATCAGTCAGGTGCAGAGTTTATTGCTAAATTTGCGCCAGATCATGCTGACATACGAGGTTGCAGACTTCAAGGTAGCGTGAAGGCACGGTGCTTATGAGGTGGGATCGAACTCGGGAGGTGTCAAGTTCTTCCGGCTGAGGGCAGTCATTGTCGTGATTAAGAATTCCCACAAGCAAGGAATTTATCCTACACTGGATTGGTCAGCTGGCAGAGAGTCAGACTCAGAACCGAAAGGTTCCGAATTTGAGTCACGGTCGGATTCACTCACCTTTCTACCATTTGAAGTTGTTAATAGCTGAGTACTAGTGTTTAAAAAGAAACAGGAGACTACAAGCAAAGTTTGACGCAAAGTCGCTGTCGACTCTGCCTTAAAAAATAAGGCGCGCGCTCTTGGCTGGTGACAAGGAAGTGGAGATCAGCGATCCACAGTCTACCTCATTAAAACATAGGTACCAGGATCATCCCATCATGACAGTGCAAGGAACACCGGCTTTTCAACGTTAACTAACTTTCCTTTCTTCCTTCCATTCTTAAACCTTTAAAGAACAGCTTATGTGATGCAGTAATCGATGCTCATATCAAATGTGTACAAAAGCTGCGAGTACAGATGAAATCACAAACCAAAGACGTTCTGCCCATTCGAAAGACAAGGTAATAATTTCAGCAAAGAGCGGCAAAAAGAAATAACTCTTTGAATATAATTTTTGCATACTTTCGGTAAACATAAGGAAATTATCTGTGAGACACAGGAAAGATTCCATGCCTCGGTGACCACCAAATAATTGAAAACTTTCATCGACCTACTGGACAAAATACTGAAAAGAGCAGTCAGATTTTGTCAGTTCAGCGTCCTCATTCGCGTAGTAAAACGGAGAAATGGATATTCTAACTATCAGAGAATTGCGGTCAATCAAAACCTGAACTCCACTCACTTAATTGCCGTGAGTAAATTATGATTTTTCACCTTTCCGGCCTTATTTTTATGTACAGGAAATTTCAGTTCGGCCTGAAGAGTTACGTTTCGAATAAATGAAATAATTTATATATCTGTGACAGGCGATCTCGTTGTGTATTCATTGGAACAGCAGCAAAATATAGCGGAAACCAGCGTCCGCGGAAATCGCTATGTCAGTGACCTGTTTTCCGATTTGGTATCAGTAAATTTTTCATAAGCCGGTTCTCGGCATATTGACATTCGAATATTTATGAAAGCGATATGTCCTTTGATTCCATAATTTACAGCACGAAAGAACAGAAGCAAATTTTTCAATCTTCATATCCGTCGTTTCGATAAAATCTCCATCGGTTATCAACAGGGAGTAGGAAGAGTCTAAGAAATTATTTCCGTTACATAAGCAGCTTCTCTTCCCTGTCCTTGTGTACGAGCAGCTGAGAGCTAAGGTTCCTTCTCCAATATAAATGCTAAACAGCTTGAATTTGAATTCTAATCGAAGTATCAAAGGAAGGAAAGTTTGCAGCCTCTGCAATGCTGGCGTTCCTTACGGGTTCATGGTAGATAGACCCATTTTGATGTCCCTCATTTCATTAAGTGATGGTGGGACGCTGATCTCTATTTCCAGGTCATCAACCAAAAGTGCTCAATGTGAAAGGCATGTCGACAGCAGCTGCGTGGTAGGCGTAGTGTGTAGCCTCCTGTTTCTTTCGCACCGAGAAACTTATTTATCGACATCGAAAAGAGGATAGACGAGTGACCGTGACGGAGACTCGAACCTGGGACCTCTTGGTTGTGAGTGAGTCTGAAGCACCGAGGAGCAAATTCCTCGCTCAGGGGAATTCGTGCTTAAGACAACGATCGCCCTCACCTGAATCGAACCCCGCACAACCGCAATTCAAAGACCAACTCTTCAGTGTGGAGCCACCATGCCACACATCGAAGCACCAAAAACTTAGGGTCAGACCAGTGTCTATTGCATGGTGAAATAATCTTACAACGAAGCCGAACATTGGCTAAGTAGTTTCAGAGTGTGTAGCGAGAGGACATGTCACATATTTTTTCAAAGCAAAATCTGCTAAACGAGCACCTTTCAGAAATCGGAGGCAGAGACTGGCGAATCACAGACGAGAGGTGAGCTGTCGAGTCGAGTTCTGTTGTTCTTAGGAGGTGGACAGGTGGACGTGGCCAAGACAAACATTTAGTTAGAAACTGCTATGTAGCAGCCCTTACAGTAGATCAGTCAGCATGTAAAGCGACGAAACAAATGAAAATGCTGCGTGGATTAAAAAAATTAAAGAAATAAACGGGATTGAGACCGCAACGGATTTGTGACGCACCTATTTTCAATAAGTTGAAAATATCGATTCAGGTTATTAGAGAAATCATTTGCAATTGTCAAAGCCATATCAACAATAGGTAGATATAAAATGAAGAAAGTCAGAAGCTGGCTACAAAGAAACAAATGCGCTGAGGTGGTGAACCGTGATAACTAGCAATAAAGTGATTATTTATACAGTGAAGAACTTGAGCAGGGAACGTAAAGTAAAGGAGTAAAAAATGGGAAACAAAGCGTGAGGATGAGACAGTAAGAGTGAAAATGCCTGTTCTATCTGTTGTGCTCAGCTTCTGTCAATGATTAGAGCATTTTCTGTTGCCAGTAATAAGAGATAACTGCACAGGTGACGCTTATGCTACTAAGCTTGTTTGATTTTACCAGAAAAGTGAGAAAACGTTTGCTGTAAAATTCTGCAGAATTCCGCAGTTCGACAACATGACGTGACACAAATGCAAAGAACTTTGAAAAAGAGAACAATTTTGCACCTCCAGGCACGGCATTGACTGATACCATACGGAAATGGTATCAGAGGTACGTGTA